ATCCTATATCTTAGTTGACTTATCCTTATTGGAATTATTGACCCGTGATATCTCCCTTAATGTTGAGTTGTACTTTGTAAGACCGTTGTTACATATTATTTTCTCCCTTGTTGAGTTGTTCTTATTATGACTAGCATTCTCTATTGTGGCTATTCCTTGTGAACTAGTTCTTTCGTTTCTTTGAGTTCTAGAATTTCTGAGTTGATTTAATTGCCATACTCCGGTATTATTGTCATTGTTGTTGTTGTACTTGTTGTTGTTATGCACGAGGTTTATGTCGTGCGGTTGTTATTGTGATGCACGAGGTTTCTGTCGTGCGATTGTTATTGTGATGCACGAGGTTTCTGCCGTGCGGTGTTATCGGGTTGCACGAAGTTTCTGTCGTGCTATTATTACTATTGATATTTGCACATGCGGAATGACAAGGTGGGATATATATATGTGAGTTGCATATGTGGCGAGACAAGGTGGGGATATTATTATGCACGTATGGCGAGACAAGGCTGGCATTTACTTTACTAATTGAACACTTGGTGAGACAAGGTAGGCTATATCAATATCAAGGATTGAATTGTGGTGACTTGCTATGGCCTGGGGGCATTCTTGTTGTTGATATTTGTGTAGTGGTACACTTACTTGTGCGAGTTTTATCTTGTGGAAAATTGTGGGGAACATTTTGCGTGCTGTCCATTTTCTCTATACTTACTAGCTGGCATGAACTTTGTTAGAACACTTGCACAAGCATACACGCAGTTAATCACTCTTATCGGTTAATAGGATGGATCTTGATATTGTTGAGTATTGATACACACCCTCGTCTGGTTCTATTAGCACGTGAGTCGTCCGTGCAGTTATTGTTTGTAGCGAAGGCACAAGATGCCAAGTGTTTAGGGTTCACAAATTCGAACCCGTGAATTATGAATATTTTGAGGTTTGGTGCCTCGTGGTGATTATTGGATAAAACCTGATATGAAAGCGGTTATTTTCATCTAGTTGATACTTGTCCTTCTTTTAGTTGTGTTCTCCGGGTTTAGACTGTGCCCAGCTTACCCTACTGTGTTGTTACTTATTATGTTCCGCTGCTAATTGATGTTTCTATTTCTGATTGCAAGTACCATATTATCGTTGTCATTATGCATAGCTTTATAGAGATATCGTATTCCTATTAGTCCTACACTTATACTTGTTCAGGTCATTTAGTCCAATAGGTGTCTTGACTGTCCCTCGTTACTACTTCCAGGGGCGGATCTACGTAGTCCGTGCCGGGTGCTGAAGCACCCATTGACGCCGGCGTGAACTATGTAATGTTATATAAGAAAACATACGAAAGTAATATAAACAATTGGTAAGCACCCACGAACCAAAAAGGCTCATGGGTGCTTTGGTTCAAAGCTGAAGTTAAGAACGTGTTTTTAAGCCACACGAGTTCGCTTACGAATTGGGACAGCATTTCGCTAAGCCTGTTACTTTTCAAGGCTAGCTATTTTTTCTGCCTTTTCAATGCTCTGACTTTGACCTTTTCTTTTAGTTTTCTTTTTTTACTTTCCCTATTTCCTTTAGACTTTATCTCATCCAGGATAAAGTTAGCTTCTACTAAACACCAAATGATCAAGAGATTATGTTTTTATTAAAGCTAGAGATTGGAAAATATTTAGTAAAGGGATTTTGGATTTTTTTTCCATGCTTATTATTTATGCTTTTTACAAAGTTCATTGTGACTTTATGATTAGAAGTTTGTTTTGGTAGTGACGGTATTTTCTCATTAACTTTTTACACTGTCGCGCTAGAATAGTCGTGCATTTATACTAATATAATTGGTAGCAAATTTATGTTAAAGGAAATGAGCACCCACGATCTTAAAATTCTGGATCCGCCACTGACTACTCCACCGAGGTTAGTCTTGATACTTGCCGGGTACTGTTGTGGTGTACTCATACTATACTTCTGCATATTTTTGTGCAGATCCAGGTATTGCGGAGTCAGATGATAGTTATCTAGGTGTTCAAATCTTGCGGAGGAGACTCAAGGTAAACCTGCTGCTGCGTTAGCAGGCTTTGGAGTCACCTTCTAGTTTTTTTGTATTAAAATTGTTTACTCCTATTTCGAAACAGTTGTATTTAGAGGTTTTCTAGAAAACTCTGTAGAGCTTATAACTTGTACTATCGGTTTTGGGATTGTAATACTTGTATAGAGAATTCTAAATTTGGAATTGCTAATCTTTATTTATTTTGTTATTATTTTCAGAAGTTGTTAGGCTTACCTAGTCCCTAAGACTAGGTGCCATTGCACCCAACAGAGGGAAATTTGGATCGTGACAATCGAGGGGAATAAGACTATAGCCGAGGACAAGCCATTGTGGTTGTAACTCTATCTAGAATACTGGAAATCCCAAGATCTAGGTTTAAGGAGATCAAACAAAGTCATTAATGACGGTTCAATATTGTCAACTAAAATTTTGGTCCATTCTCGTGATGAGATAATGTTCAATACCAAGGATAAAGCATGAAGGCTTTTTAATGATTTCTAAATTTGATACCGGGTATATTAAATAGAGTATATACGGGATGACACGTTTAGGAATCACCTATGTAAGTGTGAAGTTTTAGCCGTTTCAAGGAGAATTTTGTAAGGCCAGTTCTCTACGCACTTATGAAACCAGGCGGTGTTCATGGCTGAAACGAATACAACAATAAGAACCAAAGACGGTTAAGGGTTGATTGTGTGACTTATGCTTGTCTAGGTATACACCAAAGTTCGACGGTTCAAAGATATCAAATCTAACGATTGATCGAGTATGGAAAGTTCAAAGGGAAACTTACTTATCCAGATGCAATTAATTCTTGCTTGTAAATCACACAATTTTTCATGCATATTTCCATGATATAACCATTTCTTATTCATGTGGGGGATTGTTGGGGTTTTAAGCTTGGTTTAGCTTAAAAGAGGATGAATGAAAAATGGAGGGAAATAAAATTTTGATTTTCCCTCCTTTACAAAGGAGCATTGTCCCATATTGGAGGAGGAAAGCTCATTTGTTGAGTCTATATATGATTACACTTCTTCTAGCTCTTAAAGAGTTGAGAAGAAGGCAAGCCTCGCACCATCGTCATCGCCCGCTCGCTCGGCTCGGCTTTGGCTTCTGCTTCGACTTCGGCTTCAGATTTGGATTTGGATTTGGATTTGGTCACATGATCTGATTGATTGATTAATTTTTTGGACCAAATTTATTTGTTAAATATTAATATTTAATTCAAATCGACTGTTTTTGTAACGGTAATTTAAATTTTCCCTCCGATTTTATTTTCCGTTTTATTTGCGTAAATAGCCATTTACTTAATAGCTGTTTACGTCAACGGTCATCTTAAAGAGTTGCACACGGTCATCTTGAAGAGTGCACCTCTTCATTTAAATCTAACCTGTTGGCTATAAATAGCAAGTCATTCCGTCAGATTTTTCTTACGAAAATTCTGAATTCTCCTCTTCTGTTTTGCATTGTTTTCTTACAAAACAAACAACGTAAGTATGATTGCTGCCGCCATTTGTGTTCGTTAAAACACTGGGGTTTGAAGTACCACTACACCAGTGTGTAATCCGTTCTATCCTAGGAGGAAATAATTCATAACCTCGGGTAATAGGAGGGGATTAAGTTCCTTAAGAAAACATTGTGAATTCAGTAGGCTCGGATTAATTTTTACTTCTTCTAAATTTCTGTTTATACGTTGTTTTTCTTCTCCGGAATTATTTTACAAATGCAGTATGCTAACAACTTTTATGTAGGGGTGTCAATGGATGTTTAAACATTGACTAAACCGACCGAACCATACCGTACCAAACCGATTTTCAGCTTCTCTTAAATAAAATCGTAGGTTTTTATATAAATCTATAACCGTACCGATAATTTGGGTACATTTTTTATTTTATAAAAATAAATCAAAAAACTACCGAATCACAACAAATAAATTTACATGTGGAAAATATATTTATATATTAAGTTTAAAAATAATAAAGCATTAAATTTTTCCTTTGGGTCTTGAAATTATGAAAGTGGTTACAAGCCAACAAGCAATTAACTCAAAATCCTAATTCCCAAACCTATTAAGCTACTCCTATTGAAATTAAATTACTTTCAGCACATTCACTAGCAAGACACAAGGTATTCTAGCGTCATGAGTAGCAAACTACAATGTTGAATATGTTTCCTTTTTTTATGATTTAGAATTATCTTTTTGAATATTTGATCTTTTATAGACTTTATTCTTCAGTCCCAACTTAGCTAATATCTTTCCACTCGTGTGATTTATATTTTCTTTGTCTTTGCTTAGTTTCTTTACACTGCGATAAAATAATTGATGGGTCTACACTCTGGCTACCTTCATATTTTCTTAATTCATCACCCTTTAAACAGTAAAAAATGTCTAGAGAAGTCCTATAAAAGTATGTATTTATCACATTCAACTTCTACTAGTGATTTTTACATGATATTAAAAAAAAACAAAAATTAACTGAATCGTACCGATACCGAAGATAAACCAACATGATTGGGATGGTTTTGGAAAGTCTAATTTTGGCTATACATAATAGAATAACCGAATTAACACCCTACTTTTATGCATTAGGTACATGCATCAAGCGATTAAGTGTATTCACTTTAACAATGACTAATTATATACTAAAGGAAAATGCTTAATTATTTGCACCAAATCAATAAGTGCATTACGTAACAATGGCTAACTAATATGTACTTTTGAATTCGTACCTAAATTTATCTAAGTGTAGTGACTTGTCATTTTCTTTTTCATACTTGACTATGGTAACAATTTATTTAAAAAGAGAGAGACATGTGAGCTTTTTATTGGTTTAGCGCATTGAATAAATCTTTTTCTGTTCCGAAATATCTGCCAATCCTTTGCTTCTCCCAATTGTTTGTTTCAACAATTGATAAGCTGTTATTTCACTAATATTATTTTACCTTTCGATCCGATTTTTATCTATTTCTGAATCTCAAATTCATTATTTCAATAAAATGGACTCATCTTCTGCTGCTTTCACATTAATGAGGAAAGAAAAAACAGGATTGGGATGGATAGAATGGATACAAGGATGGTATCGTTTGACATATGAAACACTATTTCAAAAAATCAATGCTAGGAATTTACAGGACCCTTTGCCTTTACCTCCTTTAAATGGCCAAACTTGCATTGTAACAGGAGCTACAAGTGGCATTGGACTTGAAATTGCTAGGCAATTAGCAAATTCAGGTGCACATCTTGTCATGGCTGTAAGAAACACAAATCTTGCATATCAAATCATCCAAAAATGGCAAAGAAATGAACCCGACTCGAGGTCCCTAAGCATCGATGTTTTGGAACTCGATCTCCTTTCTCTTGAATCTGTCGTAAAATTTGCACAAGAATGGAACTCAAAATCAAAACCCCTGCATGGTCTAATCAATAATGCTGGTATTTATTCCATAGGACAACCTCAGAAATTTTCTAAAGACGGGTACGAAACACATTTACAAGTGAACCATCTTGGCCCGGCATTACTCTCTATTTTGCTCTTGCCTTCACTAAAAAGAGGTGCTCCAAGTAGAATTATTAATGTGAATTCACTTCTGCATACAGTTGGTTTTGTTGATTCCCAAGATATGAATTTTATAACCAAGAAGAATAAGTTTACGAGTCGAAAAGCTTATTCAAATAGTAAGCTGGCACAAATTATGTTTAGTAGTATGCTTCAGAAATACATACCAACTGATGCTGGAATTTATACGTTGTGCGTAGAGCCAGGAGCTGTACGGACAAATGTAACGAGGGATCTTCCGTGGATTTTGAATATTCTTTATCAGAAAATGTTTTTTTTCATGTTTGATGCTCAACAAGGTTCAAGAAGTGCACTTTTTGCTGCTACTGATGTTGATATCTTAAAATATTGTGATAAGTTGAAGGCAGAAGAGCGGCCTGTTTGTGCCTTCATTGGTTGCCATTGTAAACCTACGAATCCTAGTAAAGAAGCATATAATGTGGGAAGTTGTCAACAAGTGTGGGAGAAGACATTACAAATGGTTGGTCTTTCTATAGATGCTGTTGACATGATTTTTCAAGGAAAAGAAATTCATTGCCGATATGAGACTAACAAAGATCAGTAAGCATATATAGCCAGAGGTTGATTCAGGATTTCAAGAGGATGGGTGCACTATTATAAAAAGGTGGATCTAGAATTTATATTTGACGAGTTTAATTTTAGTCTCTTATCATGAATCCACTACACTTTTGAAATTATAGGTTCAAAATTTTATTCATTTTAGTGATATATATATATATATATATATATATATATATATATATATATACCGTGTCGAAAACAAGGCTGCTCAGAGTGGGATTTGAATTGCCAATTTAACTTGCAGTGGTGCACTCAATAATAATTGCACCATAAGAGTCTATGAGCATGTGTTCACGCACATATATTTAAGTAATTTTGAAGAAATATAACATTGTTATACATGGTTTAGGGAGAGGAGTACGGGTTCACGTGAACCCATATCCCTCAACTTGTATACGCCTCTGCATATAGCTCCTGTTTATACCCAAAAAATAACTATTTATCCTATTTGTACAGTATAATTTTCCGAAGAAGATCCGCAGTGAAAATTTTGCCTATGTTTTAGCTTCTGTTTTAAAAGGCAGAAATGGGACTCGCCCCGGGGCGGAGCACTATTAAAACGCCATAGGGCTTATGTGTGGGGCTTAGTTCCGTGAGACTTACACCTTGGCCATCGGGGCTTACGCCCCGGACACGCCCAACGCCCAGCGTACTGGGCTCGCCTAATAGAACATTATGCAATTGTATGTAACAACCTTGTAAATCCTCAAATTTTCTTAATAAATCTATAACTATTCAAAATTACTTTTTTCTTAATCATAAATCATTAAGTTGAGGTTATTTTTTGTCATAATTAAAATATAAATTATTGCACGTTATGCACTAAGACTGCTATGATAGTTAATTTTAAATAAAATCTTTCATTTAAAAAGTATTTATTTATTAACTTTTGTTATGCCTTTACTATATAAAAGTCTATTTTTTATATATAATTATTTTTCTAAATATTATTTTTTCGTGTTTACGAGATACAATACTTATAATAGCTCAGTATTAGCTAGTAACTATTTATAAATAATTAGTTATCATGGTGTTGTATGGTGAATTATGTGTCACTTTATTAACTTGTTGAAAAATAAATGATGCAAGATAATCATATTTAAATTGTGAATTATGCTTTTATATAAATTCTCTTTCAAATAGAAAGCATATTAAATAAAAGGAGTATTTTAAGAAAAAAATCAAATTATAATATCGAAATTCTTTCAAGATTCATTACTCCTTAAGAGATACATGTAAGATTTTGTATCGAATATATTACTTTTGATGTTTGAATTGTAACGATGTTGCAGCTACTTTGCATATTATGATATATGCCATACTTTTCGTATTATTCATAGTTGAATTATAATTTATAAATATTTTAAATAGATTATTTATTGTAATTTTGTGATTTTAATGTAATTTTATAATTATTTTTTAATTTATACTATCTTAAAATTAGTAAAATTTAAAGATTCTTGAACTTACGCCCCATGTCTAAAACAATGGTTTTAGCTATACATATTCGAATTCTTTGAAATTAACCATTAAAGGTAATTTCTTAATTATCTGATCACATGTGGCTTTATTAACATTTGGCTGTCTGTTATGTACCACAGAATAGGATACTAACAATGAAATAGGTAAAAACATTTCCATTAAATTGCATCGTAAAACAGAGTACACAAGTATATTCCTGTGTGTTTTTGGTTATTGAGCACAAAGGGGCAAAAGCCATAGCCAACTTTTAGAGGCAGAAGAAGCCTATATTCAATGAGTTTAACTAAACCTAATACTTTCGACAAGGAATGTAAATATACATATATTTTGCATAGGGCTGTCAAATTTGGCCCAAGCCCAAATGACCCGCCCAACCCGCCCAAGGTTGGGTTGGTTATTGACCCGCCCATTTATTGAACTTAGCCCATCTTGACCCAACACATCTCAACCCATTTAAAGTTGGGCTAATTTTTAGCCCAAATTGATCAATGAGTAAGTTTGTCAAAATATCTTAGAAATAATTTTATTTTTTGTTTAATATTTTAAATATGACCATAACAAAAGCAAAAAAACCTTATTTAGTAATTATACAATTTATAAGAAAATAACACATATTAATTAAAGTTGAATAAGAGTTGGGCGGGTTGGGTTATGACCCGAATTTTAACCCATCTTGACCCAACCCATCTTAGCCCAAGTAACTTTTGGGCGGGTCATAACTTTTGGGCGGGTCATTGGCGGGTCATAACTTTTGGGCGGATCAAATGACCCGCCCAATTATTGACTCAATCCATTTTGACCCGCCCAATTATTAACTCAACCCATTTTGACCCGCCCAAAATTGATCCAACCCGCCCATTTGACACCCCTAATTTTGCACAGGCACAAAAGGGCAACGCCATAGCCAAGTACATTCCTCTGTGCATTCGATTGTACGTACATGTGAAAAACCACTAAAATTGCGGCTAACCACTAAAATTGCGACTAATTCTGAACTTCTAACCCATAATTTCAACGGTACAATGAGTTCTAAATATTAAATTACTTACTAGTTTTGGGAAACTCTAACATTTCCAATTAAAATTTAGGCAGCTATAATTTAATACACACCAGTGTTCGCTTAAGTTAGATAGTGGTTTATGTTAATGTTACCAATCAATTAAACCACAGACACTATAGAGTCACCAGCATTTTAATTGTGACTTCTTATGTATGTCATTAGTTCATCAAGTAATTCAGCATTTACTGAAACTGAAATCATAATCAAAGAACACTACCAGGGTAAAGTCCATTTTGACTAAGTGTGAAGATTACTTCTGCATTAATAAGCTGCTGATATCACTCCAATTTCATTCTTGCACACGTCCAAATAACTTGGACAGATTTAAATCGGATAGGCTCATTCATAGGGTCCAAAAGACATTAAATTCAAGAAGACACAAACAGAAGCATAAATGCCTACAAGCAATTATCAAAATCTGGTTGTTTAACAATCAAAAATGTTCCAATCGCATCTTCAAAAACAAGCTAAACGCTCTCTAAAGAGAAATCCATATGTTTACTACAAAGACTAATTCAATGCTTGGTCACACTCAGTGAGACTTCACATATTCCTGAACAATGTGGAGTCCTTCTGTTTCCTCTCCAAAATCCTGGAATAGCAATTTAAAAGTGAAGTAAATGTTGAGATATTGACAAGAAAATTTACTCAATAATATTAGGTTCTTCTCATTCTTTACCTTTACGACAACACAACCGCAACCAACAACTTTCCTTGCTTTGCCTTCTGAATCAATCTTGCACAGCTGCAAAATGAAAAATGAAAGTGAGAAAATTAGCCGCAGTATTTAGCTACCAAAACTAGACAAACAGACTTCTGAATTGATTAATTGTTGAAAGAGAAAAGACAGTAACTGCTTTTCTTTAAACTTTAATCAGAATCAATAGCTTTTAACTTACACCAGCCCATTCGCCGAGGGTCTTGGCACTAGGAACTGTGATCAGGTTAACATTGTGATCAGCACATAGCGCTTTGACCAATTTCACATAGTCTGGTTGGTCGCAGTCCTCTGCCAATACACAGAGTTGGGCAGCATGCTTCTCGATAACCTTTGCACCCTCATGAAGACCTTTAGCTAACCCGCCATGAGCCCGTGATTTTCTGAGGACAAGTTGCAATGCCGTCATGATATCCATGGGCTCACCAAGAGCGGGAGCGGGAGCTGGGGTCTCAGCAACAACAGCCTCTTCACTGCATTACATTAAATCAAGGAATAAACAAAATGACATGGAAATGAGAAGATAACCATTTAAATCGAGAGCTTCTAAATAATAAGAGAAATGTCATCAAGTAAAGATGGTTAGAAAAGGCGAATACAAGACAATCAAAATGATAAAACATGAAAAGATGGGAGGGGGCTTTATTTCCTAAATCAACTCTACAATCCATGACATACAAAGCAACAAAAACCAAAAAGAATGCGGTATCTTTACTAAAAAGAGAACTGATATGGCTTGTTCATGTTAACCAAATGCAAGTTACCCAATTTAGGAGAGACCAAGAAAATGTAAATTTTCAGTAAACATTAACCAAAATATGGATCATATGAAACATGTCTATTCCAGGTACGAAGATTTTCATGCCAGTGCACAGTTAAGGCTGCTAAATCTATAATACTATTACTACTTACCCAGACATTTTCTCTTCTTGGATCTAGTTCAAGATATAAACCAAACCTGTCATAAACCAGCAAAAATAAAATCAGAAAACGAAATTATGTCAACAAATAGGCTGAAAAACTAACAACCTTAAAATTAAGCATGATTTAGTTAAACAGGAATAAGAATTGTGTGGGCACCAATAGAACTTCTCCCTTCAAAACACATTCTTAGTAATGACATGAAATGCTTAGCATTCATTTAGTTCACGGACTAGTTATGCAGGATTGATCTACCGGGATTAATAGTACCAGTATAGTTATTCGATCTTGTATACCATAAAACAGAATACGAAATACTTATTTTTAAGCTATAAATATACTGATTTTAGTTATACCGAAATAAAGATACTAACCAAAAACAGGACAATAATGCCAAATGAGTACCGGGATTATTTTCCTAATAATCCTAGAGATTGGCGTGCTCACTTTATCATTTACTTCTTATTTGTAAGAGTAGTCTCCACCAGCTCGTGCGCTTGACTAATTCACCGGGTAAATGTCACCTCCTACCAACAACCGGATACATGCTACCTCCTACCAATATATATATATATATATATACACAATCAATTAGATGTTTTTGTCTCTACTTGGATCTAAACCTTGCTCTACAATGATTCATTCTAGCTTCATCGACTACTGTATATGTATACATACATACACACACACACACACACACATAGATAGATATGCAAAACAAAAAATTTTAATTGCACATACACAAGAGACTGTATAGAATCAATTCTTTTAATACTAGACGAACACTTATATAAAATGGATAAAGAGATCAATAAGTAAAGATTGAGGTAGAGAGAAATAGAATACCTCCGATGAAGAGAGAGCAGCGTCGGACAGTGAAGGAAAATAGAGATGCTGAGAAGCTTGCGGCTCTTATATTTAGGCTTTCAGAAACCTAAAACCCTACACACACTTTTACTCTATTATACTAGAGTCCGTGGTCTCTAAGCCCAAATTCAACTTTCTGGACCATGGCCCATATTATCTACCCATTAACAGCTCACCCCCTATTTCACTTGGGCAAGTTACACATGATCGGTCGACCAAAAATTAATTACATCTACTAGTTAAATATAAAAAAATATGTATATTATGTGTATATTATATATTAATATACAAAAAATATATATTTTGCCAGTTATTATTTTTGAAAATTACTATACTATGTAGTTTTCCAACTTCACTTTGTATACAGTCCAATTCTATGTTGAATGCTTAGTTGGTCAAATTTAGATTTAAAATGAGTTGAGTCAATCAAAATTACTAACTCACTCTTTTTTGGGAATTTTACACGACATCGCAATTTAGAAGCATTAAGAACATTTTTGATACACCTGCAAATAATTATCAAACTTAATAATAATTTCGGGGATTTGCATCTATATCCGCTTTTTGTGTCACGTTTTAACTTGTGCCCGCTTTGCAAAAAAAATTGCAAGCGTACCCACTTTTTCGCATAACTTCAGCATACGGGGCTGAAGTAGCAAAGGCAATCGCGCAAAACTTCAGCATTCTAGTAGACGGGCCTGAAGTAGCAAGTGTGCTAAAGTTTTTGTTTTGTAACTGGCGAATATTTAGTTAACCTAGATACTAATATTGAAGAGATTGCCATTATCCCTTTCAAAAGTCCCCAGAACAAGATCGTTTAATTTATAAAAATTCTTATAAATTTATATGAAAAAAAATCAAAGACAATCAATTTTCTATCAGCCTCTGCTTATGTGAGAATTGTTATATTTTGTGCCTGGAGCGTGTAAGAATCATTAATATAAATAAAGTCTGTTTATGCTGATTGAATAGTATCTTTAAACAACTTCTGCTTAGCTGAGATTCTCCTGTATATGATTCGAGAGAGTTGCAAAGCAATGAGGGGGAGAAAGGGGGCTGAAGTTATTTAAATAGTGGGTACAAGTTAAAAGTTTTTAAAAAAAAATGGGTATTGGTTAAATGGGGGCAACCAAATAGGGCGCCCCGTGCAATTTTTACTAATAATTTTCATTTTGTAGAAATTTAAGCCAAATACTGTACCCCTTGATTTTAGTTTCCAGTTTTGGTAAAAATATCCGTCGCAAACTTCCTAATTTTCTCTCCATCCAATTCATCTATCTTTGCATACAAAGCACTCACTTGATTAATCGATAAAAGAAATTTGAGATCTGAGATTCTGAGGAGTTTTGGAGATTTGTGTTTGAGTTTCGAAGTGAGAAATCTAAGTGATTCTATTAGATATTCACTACTGGGAAGCCATATTTGAGAAAAAGATATGATTCCACCATTGTCAAGTTGAAGTTTCATCTGATTTCAGTAACACTCAAATGTTTGTGTCGAAAATCAAGCGGGTGTTGCTTGATCTTGTTGGAAATAGCTTGGAGTCGTCAATTTTGAAGTTTGAGTGCATTTAAAACTAATTCGAATTGGTTTTGATATAAGAAAAATTCGAAGTCGAGATTTTGAAGAATACAACTATGTATGTCTTGTATGTAGGTGTATGTCATGTCTATCAATATTACATACATACGACAAACATGTGACATATATATGATATACAAGTGACATACATGAGATTTTCCTTTTAAACCTCGAAGTACAATGCACCAAGTCGTCCCAAACTTAAGATGTAAGCTCTTCAAGATTTTCTGAAACAACACCCAGTCGAAAATGATTTCTAATTTGCAAACCCAAATTTCAGCTTCGAAGCTTCACTAGAGGCGACTGATGTGTTTATACATGTTTTAATCACCAAAACAGTGACTATCCATGTTTTTAAGTTTAAAAGTAATTCAAAAGCAAGTTCCCAGCAACAAACAGTGGTTCTTCAGTTGAATTGTTTTTTTAACTTTAGATTTGGAAAGTGAAATAACCCACAGGCCACAGCAGTAGGAACCTTGAAGTTTTCTACCGTTACAGCTCCCAAATCAATTTGTAATCTAGAATTTAGATTTTGTGAAAAATCTGAGAGAAAAGACAAGAAGAAACATATCCTTAAAATCCCTGTGTAGATTTTGTTAGGAGGTTGTGAGAATGCACGGGAGAAAATATATTATTGATGTATTCATATGTTACAATGAGCCCTATATATATACACACACATAACATGTCCTACTCCTAATATATATTGGATTAGGGTTATTTATTTACTCCTATTTACATGACTATTCTAACACTCCCCCTCAAGCTGGTGCATATAAATCATATGTACCGAGCTTGTTACATATGTAGTTAATACGAGTACCAGTGAGGGACTTGGTGAAAATATCTGCAAGCTGATCATTCGACTTCACAAACTTTGTAGCAATATCTCCCGAGAGTATCTTTTCTCTAACAAAGTGACAGTCAATCTCAATGTGTTTAGTTCTCTCATGGAACACTGGATTTGACGCAATATGAAGAGCAGCTTGATTATCACACACAAGTTCCATCTGACTAATCTCACCAAATTTCAACTCCTTGAGCAACTGTTTGACCCAAATTAGCTCACATGTCGCCATAGCCATCGCTCGATATTCTGCTTCTGCACTAGACCGAGCAACCACATTCTGTTTCTTGCTCTTCCAGGACACCAAATTTCCTCCTACCAAGACACAATATCCAGACGTAGAACGTCTATCAGAAGGTGATCCTGCCCAATCAGCATTTGAGTATCCAACGATCTGCTCATGGCCTCGACCCTCAAACAATAAACCTTTGCCTGGAGCTGATTTTATATACCGAAGAATGCGAACAACTGCATCCCAATGACTATCACACGGAGAATCCATAAACTGACTCACAACACTCACAGAAAAGGAAATGTCAGGTCTTGTCACTGTAAGGTAATTTAATTTACCAACCAACCGTCTATATCTTGCAGGATCGCTAAGAGGCTCCCCTTGTCCTGGCATAAGTTTAGAATTCGGATTCATCGGAGTGTCAACCGGTCTACAACCTGTCATTCCCGTCTCTTCAAGAATATCTAAGGCATACTTTCGTTGTGAGATCACAACACCTGAGCTAGACTGAGCGACCTCAATACCCAGAAAATACTTTAGTTTGCCCAGATCCTTAGTCTGAAAGTGTTGCAAGAGATGTTGCTTCAATTTAGTAATACCATCCTGGTCATTGCCGGTAATAACAATGTCGTCAACATAGACCACCAGATAAATACAGAGACTCGAGGCAGAATGCCGATAGAATACAGAGTGATCAGCTTCACTCTGAATCATGCCAAATTCTCGAATAACTGTGCTGAACTTACCAAACCAGGCTCGAGGAGACTGCTTTAGACCATAAAGTGACCGACGCAAGCGACATACAAGGCCACGAGACTCCCCCTGAGCAACAAACCCAGGTGGTTGCTCCATATAAACTTCATCCTCAAGGTCACCGTGTAAAAAAGCATTCTTAATGTCCAGCTGATAGAGGGGCCAATGGCGAACAGCAGCCATGGATAGAAAAAGGCGGACTGATGCTATCTTAGCCACAGGAGAGAAGGTATCACTGTAATCGAGCCCAAATATCTGAGTATATCCTTTGGCAACAAGACGAGCCTTAAGACGATCAACCTTACCATCCGGACCAACCTTGACTGCATACACCAACGACAACCAACAGTAGATTTACCTGAAGGAAGAGGGACGAGCTCCCAAGTACCACTCGTATGTAAAGCAGACATCTCGTCAATCATAGCCTGTCGCCATCCTGGATGAGACAATGCTTCACCTGTAGACTTAGGGATGGAAACAGAGGACAAAGAAGATAGAAAAGCATAATAGGATGATGACAAACGATGATAACACAAACCGACATAATGGGGATTAGGATTAAGGGTGGCCCGTATACCTTTCCAAAGTGCAATCGGTTGATTAAGAGGAGACAAGTCCGCAGTATTAGCAGGGTCAGGTGCAGGACGTGAATCAGCTGGACCCGATGCTGGGCGCGGACGACGATGATATGTCAAAAGTGGTGTTCCTGTGGCAGGGAGTCTAGGAGGAGCCACACTAGACTCCTCAACGGCTGGAATGGATAAGACTTCTATAGCGGAAGGTGAAGGAGGAGCTATAGGAGACTCGGGTAAGACTTCTGTGGCGGAAGGTGAAGGAGGAGCTATAGTAGACTCCTTAAAGGTCGGTATAGGTAAGACCTCAGATATATCAAGGGGGTCAGAAAGGTCAGAAGAGGTAAAGAAAGGTTTAGACTCAAAAAATGTGACATCAGAGGACATAAAGCACCGACGAAGATCAAGTGAGTAACAACGATATCCCTTCTGAACACGAGAATAACCAAGGAAGACACACTTGAGAGCACGAGGAGCTAACTTATCTTTCCCAGGGGCTAGGTTATGAACGAAACAAATGCTCCCAAAAACACGAGGGGGAACAGAGTATACGGGTGATTGGGGAAACAATACTGCATACGGTATCTGATTCTGGATGGGAGAGGAAGGCATCCGATTAACTAAATAACAAGCTAAGAGAACTGCATCGCCCCAAAAACGCAGCGGAACATGAGATTCAATGAGAAGTGTGCGAGCATTCTCAATGATGTGCCTATTCTTTCTCTCTGCAACCCCATTTTGCTGAGGGGTATAAGGACAAGAGGTCTGATGAATAATTCCTTGAGAAGTCATAAACTGCTGAAATTGAGAGGATAAATATTCTAAGGCATTATCAGTGCGAAAAGTGCGAATAGAAACACCAAATTGATTTTTAATTTCAGCAAAAAAATTCTGGAATATAGAAAACAACTCAGAACGATCTTTCATTAAGAAAATCCAAGTACATCTTGAATGATCATCAATAAAACTAACAAAATAACGAAATCCCAAGGTTGAACTGACTCTACTAGGACCCCATATATCAGAGTGAACTAAAGAAAAAATAGACTCTGCGTGACTCTCAATACTACGAGGATAGGAGGCTCGGGTATATTTCCCGAGCTGACATGACTCGCACTCTAATGTGGATAAACTAGACAAACCAGGCACCATCTTCTGAAGCTTGGATGTCCTAAACGTCTATGAATTAGGTCCGGAGGATCTGTAACTAGACATGCCTTGGAGGATTTTAGGGAGTTAAGGTAGTAAAGCCCTTCTGATTCAAGTCCTGTTCCAATCGTCTGCCCTGTACTGCGGTCCTGCATAATAAAAGAATCATCAATAAAATATATACCACAATGGAGGGCACGAGTCAAACGACTAACAGATGCAAGATTAAAAGGACAGCCAGGGACATAGAGAACGGAATCTAGAGTGACAGAGGGTAGGGGATTCGCTTGTCCAACTTCTTTTGCTTTGGTTTGAGACCCATTGGCTAAAGTAACAGTGGGAAGAGACTGTGAATACGCAATATTTGACAAAAGTGATTTATTACCAGAGATATGATCAGAAGCAGCTGAGTCCACAACCCATTGTCCAGGAGGACTAGACTGGGAAACACAAGCAAAAGAATTACCAGCAACAGAAGTATTAGTCTGAGCAACAGAAGCTACTTGTGGAGATGTCTGCTTACTTGCTCGATACTGAAGGAACTCATTATACTCCCCTTCAGATAAAGAAAATCCCTGGTTACCTGTAGTCTCAGTCTGAGAAACATAAGCATTTTTGGTTGGGCGACCATGTAAAGAATGGCATACATCACGAGTGTGTCCAAGTTTATGACAATAAGAGCACTTGGGTCTAGATCTTCCAAAACGACCTCCTCCTCGTCTATTCTCCATAGTATGAGATGCCCGATTGTCCACTGATTGGGATACGAGGACAGAGGAGTCAAGTGTCTGTGATGAGCTCACTGGGTGACTAGGTGCTGCAGCAAGGCGAAGTAATCGAGAGAATAATTCATCAACTGTGGGGACGGTTGGACTAGCCAAAATCTGGTCACGTACTGAATCAAGGTCATTAGGGAGTCCATCGAGTGTAAGAACTAGAAACATCTTCTGTCGTTGCTCTTGTTGTTTTTCAATACTAGCAGAAACTGGCATCAACGTCTCAAATTCTTCCATGACTGCCTGAACTTGTCCCAAGTAAGTAGACATATCTAATTCCTGTTTCTTCAAGCTTGTCATTCGCGATATTACATCATAGAAACGAGATATGTCATTAGTGTATAGATTACGAGCCTTTTCCCAAACTAAATAACATGTCTGGAATGGACGGAACAAGGGCATCAACTTGGAATCAATAGATCGCCACAGGATACTACATAACTGAGCATCGACCTTCTCCCACTGTGTTTTGGCCTTTTCATCACCTTCGCTAGCCTTTTTTGTTAAATGATCTTGAACTCCTTGACCTTTACACCACAACTCGACAGATGAAGCCCAATCTAAGTAGTTTGAACCTCCCATTAAAGGTTCTGAGGTAATCATAACACCGGAACTGCCAGAACCCGGGTTTCTAGACCCGAAAGCATCGACTCCCAAAGACATGGTTGGATTATCACCAAATAACAAAAAGAATCAACTGAAAATTCTCTGAAACAGATGAAGAAAACACTGTGTTTGCCGGAAAAGTACTGTAGCTGCCGGAAAAATCAGTGTAGTCGCCGGAAAAATTCAAAGTGGTCGGAATTGAAAAATAAAATTATGGGTAGGCTCGGAATTTGAGGGCGATCCAACTGCCCTGAAGGAACTTCGTCAAAAAATAGCCGGAAAGTGGTGCACGCGCCGGCGCGTGGGCTCACGCGCGTGAGCTTCTGGTGGCGCGTGGAGGCGCGTGGGGTACTGTTTGCCGGAGATTTTTTGTGGGGTTTGGTCGCCGGACAGTGGCGACTCTTGTGGTAGTGTTGGATTTTGCACAACACTGACAGAGACAAAGCAGACGCAAACAGGCTTGAAAAAGTCGCCGGAAAAAAGGGTTCCGGTGACTGATTTCTCTTCCCGGAATTGCTGTAATTTATGCACAGCGATAAACCTCTCACAATTGCTCTGATACCATGTGAGAATGCACGGGAGAAAATATATTATTGATGTATTCATATGTTACAATGAGCCCTATATATATACACACACATAACATGTCCTACTCCTAATATATATTGGATTAGGGTTATTTATTTACTCCTATTTACATGACTATTCTAACAGAGGTGGTATATATTATGCGAAGATTTTGTTGCTATATTATGAAAGTGGAATAGTACCGTGTTTTTGTTTTTTTGGTAATTAGTGGTGGGTCTAATTAGGTATATCTATGTAAATCTTTTCAATTTCACACATTTGCTAATCTGAGATTCAGCAATCATCAATTTAGAACGTCCTAAGTCCAATTACACGGAAAATCATCTTACTAGTCAGTGGTACAAATTTTACAACCGCCATGAAGAATATTTAAGTGCTAGCAACAGACTAATTTAATAGCGAGAGACGTCCAATTTCCACCACGTAAATTCTCATAGCATCTGTTGCCGAAGAGTCCTACATCGTCAGCAACTATGTAATGAACCACTAACAAGATACTGCACTACAATGCATGAAACAGAGCAAGTGAAGGTGTAAGCAGATATTCCATTTGACAGAAATAGAAGACAATATATGAGCACCTTGTTATCATCTCTTCCTCTTATGTGTCTTCAATTGCTTGAAAATGAAGCTGATTGCTTCCTTTAGTGTAGCCTTCCTTTGTTCCTTGAAATTCCACAGCTCAGGGATCACATATCTGCCACTGGGATTGTATTCCTCAATCTCCTTTAGAGCTTCAGTTACTGCATTGTAAATTTCATCCCCCCATTCCTCCTTGAGCTTTTTTAGCGCTTCATCATCCTCATCGATCACTTTCTGCAGTTAGTTGCAAAATTAATTAGATACTCAAAATGGCTGCCAACATGACAAGAAATATGCTTCTCTCTCTTTCATATCGTTGTGGAGCAGTTAGGATAGCAAATTTAGAGGACAGGTTCACAACTATTCTCTTTTGGCTTGCATCAAATAGGGGTTTGGCTTTCTGTTTTTTTGCTATTACCTTACGTAGCTAAAGATTATGGTCTAATTAAGTTTTGCCACCTTTACCCAAAGATAAAAGATGACTGTCATTGAGAAGACCAGCAAGAGAAGTCCCTCATTCTTTTTAGCAAACCCATGAGGATTATATTTGTACATGAGATTGGGTGTATGTTGTAGAGAAACATATTTTTGTGTAGGCTCTCTAACTATTGATTACTTCTTGTATATGGCATATGGGAATTTCCCCACATTAAAAAAGTTACTTTACCTTCTCAAAAAAAATCCTCCTTTCTTTAAACGTCAGACCTTTATGTGCAATGCACAGCTCTTAACCTAAAAGGAATAATATTGGCAGCAATAACATAATAAAACAAACAGGCATAAGGGACAAACCTCAGCCTTGGACTCGTCAACCATGAAAGTTTTAAATGGATGCCAATCAGAGTCTTTTATCTTTTCCTGCCAAAGAGAACACAGTTCTAAAGCCTTGATCTCAGCTTCCTCATTTGGGAACCTTTGCTTGCATGCATTCTGAAAAGCTTTTGAATCGATTTCCCCCATTCTTCTTATACCAATATGGGAGCGCCCGCTGGTCAAGAGCTCATTCAATCCCTAAAAAGATGACAATTGATAATGATTAAGCAGCCAATAAGCAGTGTGCTTTAACAAGAAGAAGCTCCAACAACAAACAAGGTTTTTAACCACATCTCATAACATAAAAATCTTACTGTCATAGTGCCATTAATACTGAATCATACCGTAATTAACGTGCGCCGAGCATCTTGTAGCTCATCATTACTCCTGCGCTCCTTCGCTAGAAGGGTTTGATTCAAGGATTCCAAGTCTTCCATTTCTTCCATTTTCCCAACCAGCTCCTCGTTCATCTCCTTGATTTTATTTTGCACAGCTGCATCGTCGTCACCTCCTAGATGCTTCATAACTTCTAGTTTTCCTTTAAGTTCTGCAATTTCCATTTCCAGCTTCTGCTTGGTATCATTCTCTCTTTCTAACTCAAGTATCTTTCTCAAAGCTTCCTCCTTCTCTCTCTGCACATGTAAAAGCACTAATGACTAAAACAGTATTGAAATAACTCGAGTGAACTATTTGTAAAGAACAGTAGCAGAAACCCTATTGCCAGGTTTTTGCGGGAGGAAATGTATATATATGTATGTATGTGTGTGTGTGTGCGTGTACACAGACGGGAGGGGGCGGGGGGGGGGGGTTATGAATGCAGCACCTTATGTTCTTCAACTAGTCTCAACACATTCTCATCAGCTTTCCTTTGTTCTGCAGAGGCCATTTGAAGTGCAGAGTTTCTTACGTCATTCTGAAAGTCCACAAACGATGTTATGGATCCTTAAGATGTAAGCAAGTGAATTGAAAAACATTGAATGTATTTTCCAGAACAAATTCTTCTAGAAAAGAACAGGAAGCTTCAGCATATTATTCTACTTCACACGATATACATCCGTAAGTAAGCTAACCACCAAAATCCAGAAGAGTGTAACTACCTACATTATAATAATGTAAAATATCATACAACATTGACTGATATTAGAACTTTGGTCACCTTTTGCTTCTCCTCATCCAGCTTTTGCTTTTCTCTTTCAGTTAAGGTCTCACGTTTGTTCAATTCTCTGCTCCAAATATCTAGCTGCTTCTTCTTCCTCTCCAGCTCTACACTTAGCATCTCCTGCTCATGTAGGACCTTCTGTACATGCTCCCGTGCAAGGCGTTGCATCTTCCTTGTTTCTGTATTTTAGATATCAGTTATACGGGAGGCACGATAGCAGTTTCTTTAACCACAAAATACAAAAATACTAGTCCCACTTCTTTCTCCAGAAACAGACTTTCTTGAATTCCTGATTTATATCAAACCGATGACCTAGAGTCCCTTAGAATTTTTTTAAAGCAATAGACATTTAAACGTAATTGACATGTAGAAACAAAGGAAACACGTCAATAGAGAACATTATGTATAATTTCAAGTCCAAATACTCTCATCATATCAGTGGAAAATGTCAATTTCCTATCACATAAAAGAAGGAACATAATTATCACATACAATTGCACAGTCAAATGAAAATAGTAAAATGGTTGGGTTTATGACTGGGAACCTTCAAAGAAAGAACGATGTAGTATGTCTTTCTCCTCAAGCATCTGCCTAAGAGACAACGTCTTTAAATTGAACTGTATCTGCAGCTCATCCAGATTTTCATTTTCCATATCAATCTCGTTAGCTAGAGTAGCTACGACCTTATTCCTATCCTGGGTTTCTTCCTTGATCAGGTCAGATATAGTTTTTAACTCCCCCTTTCCACGGAGGTATTCTCCTATTGCCCCTTCTGCTCTAAAATCATCTTCCCGAGCAACCCATCCATAAATATTTGAACTGGGGCAACTTTTATGGGCACACCATTCCTTTTTACTGCAGCGCCTGGCTTCAAAGGATTTCTCAAATTCCATTGCATTATTGAAACCAGTCCAATTCCTATCAAAAGTCACAATAGCTTCAGACACCAGCGCTTGGTTATCATGGAAAAGCATAATTTCCAAGGGCTTATACAAGGAGAATTTTTTCAACCAATACTCCTTGTCGTCCACAGATTCTCCATCTGCTGTTTCTTTTGACATATTGACAACAACCGCAGTCCAAGGCCAGCAAAATACTTCTGTTTGCTCGGCTTCTGTGCGCTCTGGTGTGACAGCACGTGGGGGTACTGGCTCAGCCTCATTAGCTAGGTCAGATTCCAAGTACATTGCAAGTGCCAAGTGATTTGCTTTTTGTTTTGCACCTAAACGAGCACCTTTACCTGCACCAGAAGCATGTTGAAGCAGTTCCTTGTACTTGTAATCTTGCTTCTTCCTCCCAGCACAAAAGGGGCATCTGAGAGACCCATTTGGACCCTTCACTTTGTATTTTCCAGTTCTCAGTTCTTGATAAGGTTTCTCTATATAATCATTAATCTCAGAATCACTGAAGTCTGATTCCTCATCTGAGCTGCTCATCTGATTGAAACACAAAGCAAGAGTCAATTTATAGAGAAGAACATAATACAGACAAATAACAAGCAAATCAAGTTAAAAGCCAACAAACAACTTCAGGAAAATATACACCAGAAGATGTCAAAAGCAGCTCATGGTGGCAGAGGCTAAAAATACACATACATAAATATGGTGCAAAACACTGACAAGCACAGAAAACTAGAGATAAAGGAGTTACTAACCATCAGGGATGGTGTAGAATATGTACATAAGAGTCCATAACACTCCACCTTCCCCTACTTACATAAGCTTCACCCAAACAATTCCAAACTCATAAAAATATTTCCCAAACACTCTTAGTTACTGGATAGTGCATAAATAAATGATCTACATTTTTTGTCTTCTGCCAGGCATAAGTAGCATCTATTGCACAAAGGAATACCTCTGCTTTTCACATTATTTGAGTAAGAAGCACCCTTAATTATCAAATCTGGAATTTCTTTTTAAATGCTTGGGCATCAGGTGACGATCTTCAAATTCTGCTTTGGACGTTCTTCATGCATGGCATAAAAGGGTTTTGTCTAAAGAACCATTTCGAATCTGGAACAGTATATTGGCAGTACTTTGGTGGGTGATTTGGAAGGAAAGAAATGCTAGAGTTTTTGAAGAGAAGAAGGAGAATGTTATTAACCTTATACACAAGTGTTTATTTTTGCTCAACTTTTGGCATAAATATGGCTAGGGTCGATGTTTTGGAATCTGAGCCATGATTGATTTTCTTAACTCTCTACACACTTTGTAAAGTTATCTCCTTTTGGATCTACATTTCTCCAGCATTCCTTATTGCTGGTTTTCACATCAATAAGGTATCTCAATTGCTTATAAAAAATAACATCGAGATTCATGCTTTGACTGTGTTTGAATACTGGTTTGAATGTGTATTTCAAGTGAGATACGAGCTTTGACGCACAAAACTACAACTTCGATAAACATGAGTTCATGTGTAAACACAATTTCAAACATCCATAAACTTTTTTCCATCTTTAACTTCAACTACTCTTTTTTTCCACCATCAACTCACTGCCAAACATCTATCTAGTTTTGAGGATCCCTAATTTGTCCTTTAAGATGAATTATTTATAATTTGGATGAAATAAACCCAATAATGCGGAATAAGGATTCATATAGTCAACCCTAGCTAGCTTAAGTAGTTAGATATAACCCAAAAGGAAGGCAAGAAAGAGAGAGAGAGAGAGAGAGAGAGAGAGAGAGAACTGTCACTGTTTCAGATGAGCAGAAAGAAAGAAACAATTACAACAAATTCGTTGCAAAAAACAGACGCTGCAAGTAAAAACGTAACAAAATTGAGAGAGAAAAGAAGTCCACTTTTTCTTCAATTTCTTACCTTTTTACCAAATCGATTGGAAAACCTCCGTCAATAAAATGACTGAGCTTCAGGAAAGGAAATGAAATGTCCTTCGCCGGTGACAGTGGTGGTCACCGGAGCTCCGGCAGTATTCTCCTGAGGAGTAAGAGGAAACCCTATAGAATGGACAGTGAATTAGCTGTGTGTAATTTCCGAGGGGTGGCATGATATAATTGGAGAAAATAACAAAAAGGGTCCCTTATATTTGGGATAGATTCAAACTAGTACCTTAAATATATTTCTTAAGTAGTTTTGATCCTTAAGTTTGTCAAACATGAATACTTTTGGTCTCCATAAAATATTAAGAAACTCTTTTTTTCTCCGATAAGACGAGTCATAAGGCTGTCCAGCGGGACGGGCCGTCTCTTCCCGTTCCGGCCCACTTCATTCTAAACGGGATGGGCCCATGTTAAACGGGACACGGGATGGGACGGGGTGGCCATTTCGTCCCGTTTATCCCATCCCGTCTTGCCTGTCCCGCGTCTTTTTTTTTTTTTGAATTCTAGACGTTGAGCAACGGCTTCAATTGCAAACATAGCCGTTCCCAACGGCAAAAAATGGCTATAATTGGCCTCCACCCCCCTCCCCCAAACTTTTAATATAACCCCTAAGTTTATTAAATTATACTTTGGCCTTATTTTCTACTATAAATACCCTCATCCTTCTTCATTTTTCCCAACAAAAATCAATCATTCTCTCTCAAATCTCTTACATTCTATCTAATATTATTCTCTCAAATTTTTCACTATCAAGTGATAAGTTTCAAGTATTTGAGCAAATTTTTGGAGCAACTTTCAAGTCTCAAACCCCTTAATTTAGCACTTTTGATCATATAAGATCGTCGTATGTATGTTGTCCAAGGAAGGGCGGCTAATAAGCAAGTTGACTCAGGTAGGGAGAGAGTCTATTGAGCGTAAGGTTTGGCTTCGATAAAGTAAGATCCTCCAGCACCTATAGTAATAGTCATACTAAAGCTAAAGAGATCCCAATAGTCAATCCACTACGCCCGAAAAAAGTAGCAGCTAAAGGAAAGCTAAAAGGTATTGGCGAAGAAGTAATGGAGGATCTGATATAGATCATATATCCATATTTTGATAGCTTCCAATTTCATATAGTCCTGGACTGTAGTAAAAACTGGTGTTGAATAGTAGACCGGTCTAGCCGGAAAGTGTTCTTGCCTCTATCATTAGCTCGGGTAGTCCCCGTTTCTGGCCTCATAGAGGCGGTCAATGGTAGGCTCATCTCAAAGCTGAAATGAAGAAAGTAAAGTTCTTGCAAAATTTTGCATTCCCTTGCGTTGAGTGAAATGGTGGGAATCCTTGTTTGATTTTTTTGAATATCCTCCTTCCTTGGGTTGTTGACCAACGGAAAGCATGGGAGAAAGATGCACAAACGAAAAAGGGCTAAAAAAAAGATATTTTGGGCAATTTCTTCAAGTTTCAATATTTAATCACGGTGCACTCGTTCCATCTCCTAATTTTAATATATAATTTTTGCGTATCATTTTAGTGCTTGATTTTTGTGTTTATTTTACGTGTTCTATTTTTGTATTTCATTTGTGTGTTTAATTTTTGTGTTAACTTTTTAAATTTAATTTCGTATTTAAATTATGGCACCTAAAAATGTATTTGGCTTATTTTAAAAAAGTAGTAAAAAATTAGTAATGGTGAAAGTGGTAGTAATCCTAATCCTAACCTTCTCTGGAATTAGAAAACATATAGATGAAATGACTCATGTTGATGAAACTTCATTTTCCCAACCCCCCGCATGTTATAATATTAATTTCGGAGAATAACTGGATCATGAAACTTTACAAAGACAATTTGGCAATGATATTTTTTTTAGGACGAAAAAAATGAGGATGAAGAAAATGAGGAAGAAGAATTAGATGAAACACCCACTAGTCCTGCAACACAAGCTCCAACTCAGAGTCAATCTCGGTCTGGAGCTTTACTCTCTGTACCTCCTATAAGGGGTAAGCCTAAGGCCGAACGTCCCCAAACATCACTTGTACGGGGATTTTTTAAACATGATAAAGTCAATCAACGTGCTATTCGTGAAAAATATAAGCAACAATTTGTACACACAAAAAGTGGTGGGACGGGGGTTTAACCAGGCACTTACTTAAGGAGCACAAATCTTTATGGATACAAGCTAATATAGTAAAATACAATATGTTTGCAGCTATATTTTTCGTGCTAATAAAGCAACTAGACTTCGTGAATTTGCTCAACAATGTGGTAGTACTGACCTTCCATTTAGAAAAGTTCCAAAAGATGTTTGTACTAGGTGAAATTCTACTTATGAAATGCTTAAAGTTGCTTATGATTATCGGGTGCCTATACAAAAGGTATTTAATATGCATAAGGGTATCCCCGCTGATCAAATTGTTGATTCTGATTGGGATGAGATCAAAGAGCTTATTAAATTTTTAAAAAAGATTAGTATGCTACAAAATAATTTTCTGGTATATATTATCCTACTGCTACACAAATATTATGGTATATTTGTGGAATTTCTGTTGTATTTGGTAAGTATAAAACAAATCCAACTTATGCACCGGCCATTAGTGAACTGATTTCAAATTTTAAAAAGTATTTTTTCCCTATTCTCCAAGTTTATTTAATTTCTACTCTACTTAACCCATCTTTAAAACTAAGAGGTGCAAAGGGACTTGTTCGTAAAATTTATGAGAATTTAGCAATTCAAGAAAATGAACAACCATCTCTCGAAGACTGCCAAGCTAACATATATTCTTATGCTATATCAATATTTGATAAATATAATCCTATGGAAACAACAGGTGGTGAAACTGCTCCTTCTACTTCTAAGTCCAGAGCAGAAGTTCTATGGGAAGATATGGATGATATAACAGGTTTTGATTCCTCTATTGATGATGAACTTGATTCTTATCTTAATCAAGGATTGGAAAGTATTAATGACGAAGAAGGCACGAACAACTTTTGGCATGGTGGACAGAGCGTGGCAATGCTTTTCCAACACTTTCAATAATGGCCCAAGATATCTTGGCTATTCAAGCATCATCAGTAGCATCGGAGAGTGCTTTTAGCGCGGCGAGATTTCAAATTGGAGATCATAGACATTCATTAGCGGAGGACAGCCTAGAGATTTTCATATTATTCAGAGATTGGATTAATTTAGAAAGAAGAAATCTTGGTTTTGAAAAATTAGCCACTAGGGAAGAAGAAGAATATAATGAGATACTTAGCACTGGGAGCGATAACGGCATGGAGCTCACGGAACATCAATCAACATTGCCAATTCCAGAACAATGTCCGAGAGAAATTATAGATAAGTTACAAAGAAGCTATATAGGAGCTTACAAATATTAGTATGATAGTTGTAATTGGCTACTAAGAGTCCTAGTTCAAACAGAACCATTCCTAGAAGGTGGCTGCGTAGATTAGGTGCTCTTCAAAAGAATTATATTTGTATGTGAGATTTAAAAATTTTATTAATAAAAAAAAAAGGCTCTAAGCGTTGAATTTTTTATATGAATTGTCTTAGTTACTTAATAGTTTGAATTATATTAAATAAATTATAACTCTATTATAATTACTAGAATATTTCATTACAAGTCTTTTATTTTAATATTTTATAATTATTTACTTAGTTTTCTAATTTTCGTTTTAACATTAAAGTTTATTAAATAAGTAAAAAAAAATAGTCATTGCAAACTTTAAAAACTTAGTCATTGTCAAAAAGCTAGACGTCGCCAAACTTAATGCTTAAATATATTTTTTTAAACGGCACTTAAGGCCCGCGAATCCGTCCCGTCTCTCGCCCCGTTCAGTCTCGTCCCATCCCGTTTGTTTGCGGGACGGGATGGGCCTACCATTTCATTCCGTTTGTCCCGTCCCGTTGGACAGCCGAGAACTATGAAAATTTCTAGAAACTGCAATAGAAAAAAATTCATTAGACGCCAAAGATGTACAAAAAAAAAACAGAAATTGCACCTTAAAAAATGTACCAAACTCTAGAAATAAAAATAAAAACAATAACTGTTACAAAAATTTACACCTTCAATGTAAGTTCTGCTAAATATTTTTTTTACAGACCAAAAGTGTTTATATTTACAAACTTAAAATATCAAAACTGCTCAAAAAAATATTTAAAAGAATAGTTTGAACCAATTCCTAAATATAAGGGACCGTTCTCACCTCGTGGACGGATTGTAAGCACAATGGAGTCAGTGTGATTTAAAAAAGGGCAGCTCGTTGCTGTGCTCCCGTTATGTACGGAGTCCTGAAAAAAGTCGGACCACAAAGGTCTATCGAGAGTCTTGGGTGATTTGATGGGACTAAATGTATAACTAATATTTAAAAATAATTCTTTTTTATCAAAAGGTGAGAAATAATTTCCAATAATTTGGGAGAAAGTTATTTTCCTTCATAACTATTTCATATTAGTAATCTAGCCAATACTAGCACATTATTATCAACCTTTAATACTTAAAAAGTATTTATTAAAACCAAAAGGCTTTTATCTAATAGTATTTGATTGAAAATAATTAAATAACTAAAAATATTTTTTGAGCATGTAGGAAATATTGGGTCCACCCATAAGGGGTGCTCTAAGGCCCAATAGGGTTATTAGTTAACCCTAATATTCCCTATATAAGTACACTTAGTGTGCACTAAAAGTAGACTCTAAGCATTATTTTTCTACGCTCTTTCTTTCTCAATCCAAATAAGGGTTTAGACTGCGGAATTGGGAGTTGCTCCAACACACCGTGACAACCACCGTCGACCAGTAATTCCAGCCGCGGTTCAATCCATTTTCGCTTCCGCTTCACGAAGAACAAGTAAGTTCTCGTTTTACGATTTACGGGCTATCTAATGTGTTTAGATTAACGTCATCCTACATTGGTATCAGAGCCATAGGCTGGTTTTCTGGTCCGAAATATATATTGGAATAGTTCTATTACTCTGTGTAATATAAAACTATGTGTATATAGTTTTTTGAATAAATAATCTGTCATGCAATTGAAAATAATAATACTGTTAGTTGTATATAGTGGTATCTACAAATAAGTGTTTATTCATATCAAACTTTTGTGCAATTGGAACTAGTTAATCAATTTAACTTTTTAATGATTTTTTATTAATTTGATCTGAAATCGTTTTTA